GGCTGATGCATCTCTTTTCAAAGAAGATTTCATAATGAAAAAATGTATTCTTAGCATAGATCTGTTTGATCACTCTCATGATGGCGTGGGATGTGGGAAACCTTTTCTCTACTGCCCGTGGCCCGGGGGTGGGGGGACAGCCAGCAGCTACAGGGCCAGAGGGGGTGGCTGTGGGGGCCGTCATCCGACAGGAGCTGGGGCCTTTACCTTCCTCAGTCCTGTGGCATCTCCCGCGGAGGAGCCGACCTGAAGCCAGAAGGCAAGGCAGGGAGGTGGGGAGGTGGGTGTGCAGGGGAGGTGGGCACCCAGCCCGGAGGGGAAGCCGGGCCCAGCAGTGGCAGGCGCAGGACCCGACGGCTGCCCTCCTGGCTCTCCACCATCTCCCCGACCTGGGCAGGGCTGGCCCGCGTCCCCCCGGCTGCAGGCTCCGGGCTGGCCCCGTGTGTCGATCCTAACCCTTGTCAGCAAGTCCTGGCTGCTTTTAGCCACAAATCTTTTTGTCTTCACAGAGATGCTTAGCCGTGAGGCCCGACAACTGGTCCCCGAGAGCGAGCTGCGGTCTGTGCTGGGGGAAGGCAGAGCCCAGAAAGAGGTTCGAGCACACTGTTTAGACACGTCTAGGAATGAATCTCCTCCCTGCGGGATTGGTTTCTTGGGACTGGCATCATTAGACTCGCTTCTGGTCCAAGAAAGTGCTGGTGGCTCAAGTTCCTCATTCTGAGAATATACTGCTTTGTAATCTTCCCGAGGCAACGGAAGAAGGGACTCTCCGCATACGTGCTGCCGAGCCAGGCCTCCTCCCTCCCAAGCTGATGCTCAGGTAATCCTGATGCAACACGGAGGAGGCGTCGGGACGCCCACCCTGTCTCCTTCTCGTCCAGCCGCGGCCGCAGACAGCAAGCGGGGCACTGCCCGGGGGGCCGGCCACCCACGCCGGCCGGTGAGCGAGCCGTCCGCGGTGCGGCTCTCTAGCCAACTGGGCACTTGCGGGGCCAAGTCAGTGCGCCAGGCAGTGCCGGGCACGGGAGGGCTCCCTCCGCAGGCGGAGCTCACAGGTACCAACCAAGAGCTTGCCTGCCTGCCTTCCTCCTGCCTTCCTTCCTTCCTTCTTCCTTTTCCTTCCTTCCCCCTTTCTTTCTCTCTTTTTCTTTCCTTCTCTTTCCTCCTTTTCTTTTTTCTTTTCTTTTCTTTTCTTTCTTTCTTTTTCTTTCCTTCTCTTTCCTTTTCTTTTTTCTTTTCTTTTCTTTCTTTCTTTTTCTTTCCTTCTCTTTCTTCCTTTTCTTCCTTCCTTTCATTTTCTTTCTCTTTTCTCCCTTTGTTTTCTTTCTTTCTTTCTTTCTTTCTTTCTTTCTTTCTTTCTTTCTTTCTTTCTTTCTTTCTTCCTTTCCTTTGTCTCTCTCTTTCTCTCCTCCTTTCTTTTTACTCATGGCTCTTGAACTCACGACCCCAAGATCGAGACCCTCATGTTCCAACTGAGCCAGCCAGGCTCCCCTTGTGTGCATTTTTATTTCTGGCTACCGAAGAGAGGCCTAAGGCCTCATGGTGATCAGCATGGTTTCCCTCTTCCTTTCCATCTCTGCACATCTCCACCTTCCCCTTCCCCGGCTCCCTCCACAAGCACCCCTCCTGGGACACTGACTCCTGTGGGGAAAAGGGCTTTATGATGAGCATGCGGTGGGGGGCTCACAGGCCTGAACAGCCCCTCGAGGCGGGGTATTTCCCTGACTTGTCCCAAGGATCAATGCCCTATTTGGAACAGGGGTAGCAGAACGTGTGATCGTTTGTAAGATTTAGCGGACGACTTCTCTCGTACCATTAACTCAGGCAAATTAGTTTGCTTACACAGTGAAAGAACTCTGAGTTTTCCAGCTGGAAAACAACGAAAGTTTCCACGCCAGTGTTCCTTCTAAAACTAAGCTCTGTTCATGTCAAACATCTGTCTTAATTCTGCTGTGTTTCTGGTTGGCACACGGCATACACATACGGAAACGAGCCCAGACACGCTAACGCTACCGTAAACGGTCTGCCGTGGACGCAGAGCGGGCTGGGCGCAGGGAGCGCGGGCCCAGCTGCCCGTGTGCGTGGACGGGCCCAGCGACTCCCGGAAAGAACTGGGCGACACGGACTCACACGCTCGTAAGGACCCTCCTGCATCTTTTTTTTTTTTT